CTAAGAAAATCTGCGATTGCTCCAGTGGTTGATTGAATTCAAATACAGAAGCAAATTTCTTCTTCTTACCCTGCAAATTGCATGGCCTTTCAGACTCAAACAATGATCCATATTTTACAAAAATAGTTCATGTCTGTATTGAACACAAAGTTGTAAATACTCCAGAAAAGCAGGATGCAAAAAAGTCAAATCCAGGTCTCGGTCCAGGGTGCCTTAATGGGACCGTTACACTCTGTGGAGAGCCCACATTGGGAAAGGAAGAGGAAAGCAGGAGGAAAGCAAGGATGAACAAACACAGATTACAGCAAAGTATCTCTCAACTGCAATATACAGCTGTCTTCCTAGAGGAATGTACTAACATGAGCTGATTTTTAAAAAGACACCTTGAAAGACAAAAGATCAAGGCCAGCACTTACAAAGAGCATGGCATACAGTGTGCCCTTTCGGAGTCATCTCTCTGACAGGAAAGCAGGTGGATGGATGGCTGGTTCACCAGCGGTACTGCTGACTTCCTGAATTCCCTCAGCGTTACGGCTGAGATGATACGTCTGAGCATAACAGACCGGGGCAAGCAAAACAGTTCACAGTGAGTCACAGAGAGGAGAAAAGTGTCACAGAGTCACAGAGACTCCTCCCAGCAGTCATGCTAGAGATTCACTATGGAGCACTCTTCTGCCTCAGTCGGTGCTGAGCCAGTGCCCCAGCTGAGTGCAGAAGGCACTGCAGAGTTTTGTTGGTAAAAGTGGCCTTCACAAACACATGCACCCTTGCCTAGGAAGTGTTTTGGGAACCAGGCCATGATATTTTCATTTGTTCTGTTCACTACAATCCTGGCTGAACTGTGCCACACAAGAAGGGTTTTACCCTGTGCCTAGTCAAACACCCAGCCTTCTCAAAATTCCTGTGTGTTTTTGCATCAGTACGTACTAGGAAAAACTGGGCAGTCGTCCTAGAGCATTTCCACAGCAGGCAGGACATCATCATTAAACACCCCAAAACACCTGAAAATTTCTAAGCCCGAGAGCTCTTGAGGGTCTGAGAACTCAGACTTGGTCAAGCCCGTTCTGGGAGGTGGAGCAGGCAGACCCGCAGGGGCGGTGACCAGCCACAAGGGGTCCTGTGCAAGAACGAAGGCAGGATCTCCTGGGGAGGGCAGGTTACAGCCCACTTGGGGGGGAAGCAGGGCAGGACAACGGTGTGAAGGGGCAGCGTTGCTGCTGTGGAGGTTCCCCACTGTTCTCTGCTGTCAGCAGAGGCACGGACATCTGCAGTGACGGGCACCCAGGGCTGCTCAGCAAGAAGCATCCAGGCAGTGCTGGGGACTTCAGGATGCTGGTGTTTACCTGCTTTCTGGTTGTCTGCCTGTCAGGGAGCGAAGGGATGTTCCCTTAAAACTTCACAGTCGTGGACGGGAACACGCGAAGCCATCAGCCCCTCTGCCGGCGTACACACACGCCGCTGAGGTGAGGCACAGGCCAGGAACAACCCGTCGCGGAAGGAGACCCAGCAAGGAGGTGTGACTTTGTGGGATGAGGCCAGCCAGGCTGCTGGGGGCACCTGCCACGCCGTGCAGAGGGGGACAGGCATGAGGCTTTCTAGCAAGGAGGTGTGATTTTGTGGGATGAGGCCAGCCAGGCTGCTGGGCCCCCCTGCCACGCCGTGCAGAGGTGGACAGGCATGAGCCTTTCTTGCATACTTAAAATGGGCGCTACCTGGGGAGCTGTGGGCCACCCTCTGAGGGAAAACCTCCTCCACGGGCATAGCCGGAGGCAGCTCCTCACCTCCCTGGGAGGACACCTGCCCCAGTGTCAGGAAAACAAACCCTGAGGGAAAAGCCTGAGACAACAGATACCTGCCTCAGACCGGGCTGTCCCGCCTCGGCTTGGCAGTGCTGGGAGGGGATGGGGAAGGCCGGGCCTTCAGACAGCTGCAGACCACGGAGCAGAAACTGCGGCATCGGAGGCAAACCAGCTTGTTGAAAGTTTTCATTTTCACCTTTTAGATCTTCGGCTTTTACTAACCCCTTCCCCCCGTTTGTTTTTTTGATACAGTTAAACAAGATGTCACATGGAACCACCTTGCAACTTCACATTTAGCAGCTGGGCACAGTGCTAAGGCCTTGCAGAAATTGAAAACAAATGGTTCCTCCCTCTAATTACATGAAGGTTTGGATGGAAACGTGCCCCAGGTCCTTGCCTTCCGGCTGTCCAGGTGAGAGGCCCGGCAGGGATGGGGACGGGGATGTGGACACCAGGGCAAGGCAGCCTCGCAGCCCGTGCACCTGGCCTCGCTTCTCGGTCGGGGCAAAACCTACCGTGTTTCATGGGCAAAGAGACTGCGTAATCTAGTGAAGTTAAAAAATACAAACTGTCATTAATACCAGGTAGTATATTTACCCTGGAGACCTCAAAAGAGCCTTTCCAGTCTCTTGATGTATTCAGAGCAACCAGTGAAATATTCAGTCAGAAATTACTATTGTACGGTTTTTAACGGCAAGCAGAAATCTCTTGCGGAACAAGGGCGCTATAGGTGCAAAACCAGATCCACAATAATGGTTTATTGGGAAGGAACGGTTTATATACAGTTGAAGGGAATCTGCCTCCCACAGGACGACAGTGCAGCCAGCATCCCAGCCTGTTACTGTGCTGTGGGGAACTCCACTGCACTGGGAAAGGAGATCTGCAAAATCAAAACAGCAGCTTTTCTTGTGAACAAGTGGCAAAAGCTTTCTCCAGTGCTCCCACTGCTCCTTAGAAGCGATCTGTCCAAGCCAGATAGCAATTCTCAAAGCCTTTACCAAAGTAGCAAAATGTCAAGGTAGCAAGCAAACCTGGGGTATTTTTGTCCCTCTGTGTCATTTCTCATCCTTTGGCTAAATTAGATTACCTGCAATGACAAAAACTTACCTTATTTCTGAGATCTCAGAACTTTTTGCCTCCTGTGACATGAGTCATGGCTGCTCTTACAGTGATAAGACAGAAAAATTACACTGCCTGTTCATTTTGATCCTTTTATTATTCTTTAAATCCTATGAGACTATCATGAAAGTTAATTGGATTTTCTCTTAGATTGTTTATTTGTGAAATAAAAAGGCATTTTGTGTTAACACCTTATAATCACTTTCCTGCTACTGTAATGCAGTATACGGGAAAACTAAGAAATTATCCAACTCGTGAAGGAAGCATAGCAAGTCCTGGAAAATAGAGGAGTCACCACTTGCCTTTTTTTAGCATCTGTAGCCATCTTACATAGACTCAGCGCGTGGTGTGTATGTGGGGAGGTGAACAGCCAGAAGAGGGTAGCGTAAGTTAGTTAATAAACCCCATCTGTAAAGCTGAGCTATTTTTGAGAGAAACACCTACTTACATTTCTGGCTGCAAGGCAGAGAAACATAACATTGAGAAACTCATCACCAAGCTTTTGACAGAATGTGGAAAGGCAGATTTACAGTCAGAACTGACGAGGATTAGACTGATAGCAGGCCACAAAACTTTTTGTACTCCATTAGCTCCTGTTTGACCAATACCTCTATTAATAAAAATGCACATCCAAAGCAACTTCATTGCTTTGCTTTATGGGGATAGCAGCACAAGTCAGTAAAACTAACAGTGTTCCTGAGTGCATCCGACCATGTTGTCTTGCCTGCAGCAAATCTGAAAGGCCAGATGGGAAAGTTGTGAAAATGCGTAACACCGAGAGCACCTTACGGGGATGATTCAGGGCCAAGGTAATAGAACAGGAGCTTGCTGAGTTCACCACGCAGACATACATTTGATGGCCTCTGAATGAAAATGTTCTCCTTGCTGCTGCCCCTAAAGTCTACCCGAAATAAAATGCTGTTCCCAGAGCCTGTATGCAATAACTGAGTATTCACACAGGGAATGTTGCCGTATCTGGCAGAAGCAGAAACACCTCTATAGAGACACCAGCTCGAAAGAGCTTTGGAGAATCCTCCTCTATACCTATGCTGAGGATTTCCTCTTCGAGGGCTATCTATCCCACCCCTTTCAATGCTCATGACTAAACAGAACTGAATTGCTGCTGGGCATTTCATTATACAGAGATAAAGCTACATGAGTTAGCTTGCAATTTTTTCTTTACCCCTACAAGAGATGAAAGGACAGCATTCTTCTCTGAGAAGTTGATAGGGCTTGCCTGAGGAGGTACATGAGAGGACAAGGAAGACTGGGGGAACGACTGTTATTATCTGCATCACACTAGTGGTTAGAAATCCCAGACAGGATCAGGCCTCCACAATGCGAGATGCTGTATGCCCACACAGGATAGGAAAAGCTGTAGCCTGAAAAAGGAAGCTGCAACAGACAAAAGGTGAGAGGGGAAGCAGATGCAAAGACATGAAATACCATGCCCAAGTACATACAGCCAGTCACTGGCTAAGGAACAGAAAATTCATGTCCTGTTAACTTGCTTGTGGCAGAGATGCTTTAAATTGCTCAGAGGCTGTTAGGTGAAAAAGACTGTATATGTGTTCACAGCTTGGAAAGGCACTGAAGAGATAATACGCCATTTATTCATATTTTATTTGTACTCTATACCTGAAGCAAAGTGGAGATGCAAGCTGAATCTGTTTTCTATAATTCTTTTCCCTCCACCCTTTCAAAAATAGCACATTTAGAAAACATTGGAATTTTAATTTCAAAGACCATCACACATCAGACTAGAAATGGTAAACCAGATGCCCTTCACCCTGCTGCTACAATGCAGCCACATTCTCGGCTTGAGTGTGTCCTTTATCCTTATAGCACACAAACAGCAAACAGGAACTGGAGAAGGGAAGGGGACAGAGAATAGGGTGTCAGACTAATTTCATCCCCTGAAGGGTTTAGTTTCAGATATTGTGAAAACCTTCCTGTGGCAGATTCAGAAAGTCTTTAAAGCCCCTTCAAAGGGACTTCAAAGTCCCTTCAAATTACAGGTTGTGAGCTTGCTCACAATTTTCCCTGGACTTGGCTGTTAGTTACAGAAAGGACTTTTAAAATGACATGCAAATATCCAGCTTCCATGTCTGCTTCACTCAGTCCCATGTCTCTGACTGTTTTTGGAGGGGAGGGTTGTGTGATATTGTGTGATACAGAAGCACAACTAACTATAAAGATTATTTCTGGACATCATACTGAATGATGTGTAAAGCTTACAGCGATAAGCTGGTTCCCATAACATTTCCTGCCTTTGCATTATGCATTTTGGCTTCTCTGGCACACCAGACGTACATTGTGGAAAGTGATGTTTGATGAAGTCAGTTTTCTGCATACACATCCCTGCTCTGAGCTGCAGTTCTTGGGGATCATTTGCCATTTGTGTCAGTCTTGTTTGGCGGAGCTTCCCTCATGAGCTGCCTGGCCGTTAAAAGGAGTGTGTGGACGTCCACGCAGAGTCGGCGAGTCTGGCCAGAGCGGTTTCCCCTTGCGTTTCCATGCTGCCAGACACCGATCCCTGCAGAGGGATTTGGACTGATGATGCAGTGGGTAAGGGGACATTGCCCCTCAGAAACATGCTCGAAGGGCTGCTGTTCACCTCGCTTCCCGGGTTGGCAACATTTACAGCACTGTTACTCACTGTCCACAGGCAAGGGTAGTGGCTGGAAAAAAAAGCAGTACAAATTGAATGACTTATTTCAAAGCATTTTCCCCTGCACAGGACTTACCACAGTAAAGTCAAGTGCATTATCTGCTAAAAGGCAGCTATCTGAATCGAGTTACTGAACTGCAGATCTTAAGTGAAAAACCACCAGTGACCATGGAGAGAGGCACGAAAAGAAATGTACAAATATGTGTGAGATTTCAAGATTTAAAGACCTTTTTGTGAATGCTTGGAGCTGGCAGGGCTCATCAAGAGGGCTTTAAACTAGGTTCGAAGGGGGAAAGGGATATAACCTGGCTCACTAGAGATGAGCCCAGGCGTGGCATGCCAGTGTTGGGGGTGAGATCGACAGCCCAGCTCTACACCAATGCTCGCAGCATGGGCAATAAACAGGAGGAACTGGAAGCCATTGTGCAGCAGGACAGCTATGACTTGGTCACCATCACAGAAACGTGGCAGGATGACTCTCATGACTGGAGTGCTGTGATGGATGGCTATAAGCTCTTCAGAAGGCACAGACAAGGAATGAGAGGCGGTGGGGTGGCTCTGTATGTTAGGGACGGCTTCGATTGTATAGAGCTCAATGATTGTGATGACAAGGTCGAATGCTTATGGGTAAAGACGAGGGGGAAAGCCAACAAGGCAGACAACCTGCTGGGGGTCTGTTATAGACCACCCAACCAGGATGAAGAGGTAGATGAAATATTCTGCAAGAGGATGTCAGAAATCTCACAATCGCTAGCCCTTGGTCTTGTGGAGGACTTTAACTTACTGGACATCTGCTGGAAATACAACACAGCAGAGAGGAAACAGTCCAGGAGCTTCCTAGGGTGTGGAACGTAACTTCCTGATTCAGCTGGTAAGTGAGCCTACCAGGCGAGGTGCCTTGCTAGACCTGCTGTTTACTAACAGAGAAGGACTGGTGGGAAATGTGGTGGTCAGAGGTCATCTTGGGCTTAGTGACCATGAAATGACAAAGTTCTCGGTTCGAGGTGAAGAGGAGGGCCAGCAAAATCACCACCATGGACTTTCGGAGGGCAGACTTGGGCCTGTTCAGGATGCTGGTTGAGAGAGTCCCTTGGGAGAGAGTCCTCAAGGGCAAAGGGGTCCAGGAAGGCTGGACATTCTTCAAGGAGGAAGTCTTAAAGGCACAGGAGCAGGCTGTCCCCTTGTGCAGCAAGATGAATTGGCGGGGAAGACAACCAGCCTGGCTGAACAGGGAGCTCTTCCTGGGACTCAGAAAAAAAAGGAGGGTCTACCATTTATGGAAAAAAAGGGTGGGCGACTCAAGAGGAATACAGGGGTCTCGTTAGGTTGTGCAGAGAGGAAATGAAAAAGTCAAAAGCCCAGCTAGAACACAGGCTGGCCACTGTTGTAAGGGACAACAAAAATGTTTTTACAAATACATTAACAACAAAAAGAGGGCCAAGGAGAGTCTCCGTCCTTTATTGGACACAGGGGGGAATATTGCCAACAAGGATAAGGAAAAGGCTGAGGTACTTAATGCCTTCTTTGCCTCAGTCTTTAGTAGTCAGACTGCTTATTCCCAGGGTAGTCAGCCCCCAGTGCTGGAAGATAGAGATGGAGAGCAGAATAAATCTCCCATAATCCAGGAGGAAGCAGCTATGCCACCTGGACACTTGCAAGTCTATGGGGCCAGATGGGATCCACCCAAGAGTGCTGAGGGAACTGGTGGAGGAGCTGACCAAGCCACTCTCCATCATCTATCAGCAGTCCTAGTTAACAAGGGAGGTCCCAGATGACTGGAGGATCGCCAGTGTAACACCCATCTACAAGAAGGGCTGGAAGGAGGATCCTGGGAACTACAGGCCTGTCAGCCTGACCTTGGTGCTGGGGAAGATCATGGAGCAATTCATCCGGAGTGCGCTCACTGGGCATGTGAAGGACAACCAGGGGATCAGGCCCAGCCAGCATGGGTTCATGAAAGGCAGGTCCTGCTTGACCAACCTGATTTCCTTCT